TGCTCTGTACGGCCTTGACCGGTCTCCTAAATGTTGGTCGAAACTTAGGGACCGCACGTTAAAGACTGTTCGCGTTGAGATTGGAGATATTGAAATAAGCCTGAGACAGCTAGTTTCTGAGCCAAATGCATGGCTACTGACGGCATCGTCAGGAGGCATTGTCGGCCTTCTGGTCGTATATGTCGATGACCTCATGATTGGAGGTGTTGCAAAGTATGCATCCGCAGTCCTCGCTGAAATTCGCAACATCTGGCAGTGCTCGGAGCCGGACCAGCTTAGCTCTAAGAATCCTGTGCGCTTTTGTGGTGTTGAAATAGAGAGACAAGGCCGTGCGCTCTTAGTCCACCAAGCATCGTATATAGAAGATGTTGTAAAGCGCTACGAAGAGAGTCTTGGGGCTCCACTGGTAGAGACTTCGTGCCCGTTTGTAAAGGTTCAGGACCCAGAAGAGCCAGAACCTTCTTCCCCTGTTGCTTTGAGAAAGGCCCAGGCACTTGCGGGTGAGCTTCTTTGGGTGTCTGGAAAGACAAGAGTAGACATTGTCTATGGGGTTGCGAGGGTAACATCATTGGTGAGTCGATGTCCGGAGCTTGCTTTCAAGCTCGGTCTGCATATCCTTTGCTATCTTAAAGGCACCAAGCGGGTCGCTCTGAAGTACCAGTGCGCCGCAGATCAGCCTCCCCCTGGCATGCATAATGAGCGTCGCGTCACGGCTCTTCCTTACCTGCTTGAATCTTTCACTGATGCTAGTTTCGCTCCAGCTGGTGACAGAAGCTTTGAAGCTGGCCTGGTTCAGGTAGGTCGCAATCTAGTCTTCTGGGGTGCAGGTAAGCAGCCCTTCACAGCTCTCTCTACTGCTGAGTGTGAGCTGGTAGGGGTTCTTGAGGGTGTAGCGTTGACGGAGTCCCTTGAAGGGCTGGTGCATGAGCTTCACCCAGAGGTTCAGCAGTTTCCAGCGTGTCAGGCTTTCTGCGATAACCTTGCATCCATCTCAATCGCTTCTTTTGAAAGTGGCAATTGGCGCACGCGCCACCTGCGGGTTCGGTCTCAAGCCCTCCGGGAAAGGCTCCAGTCTGGAAAGTGGCACCTGTCGCACTTAAAAGGAGAACACATGCTGGCAGATATTGCCACGAAAGTGCTGCCTTGGACTCGTGTCAGAGACCTCTTGCTTTTGTGCGGGTACGATGTGCCAAAGGTTAAGGCCCCTGTTGCGAAACTAAACCTTTTGAGGCAGGCGTTGGCGCTGCTTGTTGTCGGTTCGCTGCCTGTTCAGGCTCAGGGCAAGGGAGGAGTTGAAGGATCGACGCAGGATGACTGGAGCAGCTGGTGGCTTTCAATAGTTCCGGTTCTTGTGGTTGCAATAGGGATTTTTCTGCTTTGTGCTGTGGGAAGGTTCTTTAGCACACGACGCACTGAGCCAGTCGAAGATGGCCTTGAGCAGCCAGAGCTTGAACCCATTCCGCTTTCCGAGCAAATCCCGCAGCCTATAGTCATTGCTGACTACGATGATGGACTGCGTTGCCGTGGCAGAGGTGCCAGGCCAAGGCGAGTTAGCACTGGTGCAGGCCCAGACGTGCAGTTTTCTCCGTGGGCCCTCCTGCCTGGCGCACCAGAGCAACGTAGCCCCACGGTTGAACCTCCCCCGCTGCGAAGGAACACCAACCGGATTGAAATTCCTAACTTTTTTGATCTTGGGGACCCTAATAGCTGGGAAAACTTCATTGATCGCGTGTTAATAAGCAGCCTGGTTGTTGACATGCAAGGAACTGTCGCACTCGAGCTTCCACCCGAGGCCCCGAGAAATCATCCTGTAGTAGTTGTTCCTGAGGCCCTTCCCTACGAGCCGGAACCTCAATCCCCGTGTAGTGATGCAGAGTCTTCTTCGATACAGTCTGGTCGGTCAGCTGAGTATTATGACCGCGGAGCGCGGCGAGATTTCGAGCTGTATATGGCAACGAGATCAGACTCCAGCTCGTCATCTGGAACTCCTCCGCACTGGGTTCAAGGGGTTGGGATCGTTCCTGCTGCTGAGTATAGGGCTAGGTATGACCCTACTTACCCCCACCGTGACCAGATCAATAGGCATGGAATCGATGTAGTCCCTGGACCCGAACAGCTGTACCGCCAGTATGAAGAGATGCGCGAGGCAGGTCTCTATCCTGACTTGCCAACTCTAACACCCTGGGCTGCAGGTACCAATGAGGCTGCTAGCTCCTCTGATGCTGTGGTGAGGTATGTTGATGACGTTGCGGTCTTAAGATCAACAAGATTTCCTCCGCTTGCGACTGACAGTGAGATTGAAGAGGCTGATGAAGAAATAAATCATGCTATCGCTTCAGCTGCAGCGTTTCTGATTAGGAATGGCATTGAAGTGCCACTTGAACAGTTGTCAGATGCTCAACAACATATCTTTTACACGAACGAGGGCTTTCGCCTCGAGCGCATGCACCAGGATGGAGTCCCTGAGGTGGATTGAAGTAAGGTGCTCTAGGCGTGGTTTTTAGGGGTCGTTTTGTCATACGTCCTTAAAGGTGTGGCTTGTGGGTCTTAGTTTGTTAGGCGTGCCAGTCTCGCGGATATCTGCTTGAGACATGCTAATCCTTTCTGACCCTTGGAGTACAGTATCGGCTCATCTTTGGATTTTTGACGATTTTCTTAGCTTCCGGTTGTAAGTCCGGTTTGGGTCAGGTTCTCAGGTTGTGTAGCTTGCAGATTGGTGAAGAGCCGTGCTTCTGCAAAACCGTGCAGGGGATTACATGTCCCATCTTTTGCAAGCACTGTGAAGCCTTGCGCCGTTTGTTGTGCAACCACAGTCCTTTTCCTCAGAAACTGAGGAGCGTCTTGAGCCTTACTTGGGCTACACTCCTTTGCACTCCTCCACTTGGACTTCTCTCCACCCTTTTCCGAGGGCCCTTTGGACTTCAGCTGCTTAAGTGTGGTTGGGTTGTTGGGGTTTGGTGGTGTTTTGGCGAACGCCAAAAGGGGGAGCGCAGATGTGTATGTCCCTGCCCCTGCTCCAAGGATGACACGCTTGACTCCGCAGGTGCATGGCCCCTGCAGCAAGGAAGACAGTCAGGCACGTACAGAAGACGTTTTTTAAATCGAGAAGTGTACCAAGTTAGATCTTATTCGCTTTCGCTTCTGCTGCTAAAACAGTTGGCTGGCCCTCGTACTCGAGAAGGGTTTCGGGCGTAGGGGTCTACGAGACCGGAAATCATCCGAAGTGCTGGGCACACAGGCGGGATGCATCTGTCGGGGCCCAAGCTCTGTCGAACTCAGGGAGCCCTGAGCAAAATTCTCTCGGGTACTGGGAGAGGATAGCAACCATAACGAAACTAGCCATCCTGTTCGATGTTTTAAATACACACTATATGTACTGATTTGATATCCGTTGTCTCAACTCTAGTCCCAATCCAAACCGGAGAGGCGGATGGTGGTTGGAAGGTGGAGTTCTGAGCAGCTTCTAGGGTTTGATCTTCTCCCTCTTCCTCGTCTTTCTCTTCTTCCTTGTCTTTTTGTCTTCCTCTTCTTTCTCTTCTTCCTCTTCTTCTTCCTCTTCTTCTTCCTCTTCCTCTTCTGCTACTTCTTTTTATTGTTGTAATTGTTCTTATTTGTGTGGTTATTCCTTTTCTGTTTAGTCTTATTCTATTTGTGTTTGATTCTTCTTCTTAGTCTTCTGCCTAGTAGGTTGTTCTTCTTCCTGTTCCTTTTCCTCTTCCTCTTGTTCTAGCTTTGTCTTTGTACTTTCCTCTTTCCTTTCTTTTCTTCCTCCGTTTTTTCACAACAGGCTTTAGACTTCATTGCTGGAGCTCTTGTGCGAGGAGGATGCAGAGTCAGAAATTGCATAAAGCGAGCACGGAGGAGCAGGAATGTACGCTTTCGAAGTCTTCAGCCCCGATTATATCGTCAGTCATGTTCCGACAACTCAT